AGTTCCATGATATTCCTCATCCTTCTAGGGCTTAATAAACTCAAAGCACACAAGCAAGTGCCATTATTATGTGTAAAATACCCAGGGTCGGAACGAAGCCTCTTCTCTCCAAGATCGCACACACAAAGCCTTTGCTGTGGCCAATGCAAACAGGAGTTGTTTTTATTTGGCTATCAGCAAGACAGTAGAAATAACAGCAATAAGAATGGGGGTAGCTGTAACTGTAGCTGCATGTACATATGGTGCTAAGAACAGCCCGCTGGGGGCTGACCAGAGGCGAAACATGGTCTGGACAGCAGTGCTAGGCCTCAGGAGCCAGCCCCTTACAGCCAGCTTACCGCGGACACTGGGACCTGGTTTTAGTACAATGGCAATCTCCAGCCTCAGGTGCTACTGGTCAAAGCCTTACAGCCAAGGACATGTTTAAGAGACTTGGAGAAAACTGTCAGGCAGTAGAGGAGCCACCAAAAGACAAAGATGGAAGGAACAGCAGAGGAGGATTTGACGGAGTTAGTATAGTAACATCCCTAGGAAAAGAACAAGTTTGGACCAAAGACAGAAGGCAAGAGGAGTGTGCATTGCACACAGGACACGAAGATCTGGGCCCTTGAGGTGGTGAGGGGGTGCTGCTGCTGCTGAGACGAATATCATGGGTTTGGCAGTAACCTTATAAGAACAGGACAGTATGGCAGGCAAGAAGGCAGAGCACATGGATCCCACAAAACGAACGTAAAATATGTTGGCTACTTGTCATCACTGTGACCATAGTCCTCCACAATTCAAGGGAGGCAGGATTTATCTTGGCTCCCATTTCAGAGGGCTCAGTCCACAGAAAATTTGCCCTGTACTCCTGACAGAACATGACAGTGGAGGTGAGTAGACAATCTTCGATTACTGGTGGACAGGAAGCAGGGAGAGGGAGCAATACAGGAAGGAACCCAGATAGTATACAGCCTGCAAAGACATGTCCACAGTGCCAACTTCTCCCAAGCAAGTCTCACCTCCTACCTTTCCCTACATAACATCATCGGATTATCTATGAATACACTGAAGGCTTGACTGATCCATCCATGATATCAGAACCTTCATGGTCTTCTTGTCTCAGGAAATGGCCCTCTCAGACAAGTGGGTTTTACTGACCTTCTAAGCACTTCACAATGCAACCAAGTTCACAATCAAGATTAGTAATCACAGAGGGAAACATTATATTAAACATGAGAATTTATCCAGAAAATTCAAAGTTAGGACAGACATTTTCAGTCAATAGAAAAAAAAAATAGTGTGACCAGATCTCTAAATGGAAAGTCATTAAGTATAAGAAGGAGGATGGAAGGAGAGAGACAGAGACAGAAGAAAACACACACACACACACACACACACACACACATACACACACACACACACACACACACAGTTGTTGATGGTTCTTTCGATTGTTTGGAAATGAAAACTCAATGTGAAGCTAAGAGGCCATCTGAAGGATTCATTTTCTTTTCCAAGGTTTGAGGCAATTCCATGCATGATACAGGATCTACTCATTGTTTTCCAAATAACAGTGAAATTTCCATTTTCTCAACCTCCAATGACAGGGTTCCCCTCCATTGGGTTTTGTGTACTTTATATGATAGAAAGCAAAGTACATAATTAGTGAACAGTCTACACAAGGGGAAATCTAACCATACCCTACCTACCTCATCATTTCTTTTCAGTGATGTAAAATGTATGCTAAAGGATTCACACATCTGAAATGGCCCTCACGCTCAATACCAACACATGACTTCCCGGCTTGAGGATAGATGTACCAATTTCTTCTTTAGATCTACTGTTATCACTTTAATCCTTTTTCTTTGAGACAGAGTGGTTGTCTGTATCCAAGGATGACCTTAAACTTTTAAGCCTCCTGTCTCCTAAGTGCTGAGATTACAGGTATGTACCCCATGCCCTGTTTATACAGTGTTGAAGAGCCACTCCTGAGTTTCACACAAGCTAGGCTTGTTTCAAACAAGCAACACTCATAGCCTGGACTGTTACTATTTTTAAAGTGTCTTTTCCCCCCAAGAAGAGTAGACTAGAATTCTGACGTACAGACAACTACCAAAAGGCTTATTATCTGAAAAAAGATTTTTTTTAAATTTATTTTTAGATTCAACAGTTGCAGTGGTTTGAATGTGTCCCCTCCAAAACTCACGTAACAGCTTTATCCCACTGCCCTGGTCCTGTGAGGCTGGACCTTCAGAAGGCCACTAGACCAGGCAGCTCAGAGAAACTTGGTCTCTCTTGCCCTTCTGTCTTCCTCCTCATGAGAACAGAGCAACAAGATGTCCTGCTGGAAGCAGAGAGCCCTTATGTAAGTGCTGGTACCCTGGTACTTCCCAGTCTCTGGAGTGAAAGAAATAACCTCTTGTTACTTATAAGTCACCAGTCTTGAGCAGGATGCTAAACGAAGGAACAGACTGAGACAATGGGCCTGGAGTTGCGGTAAACTTCCCACGGAAATGTATAAATACTTCTTTGTGGACCTCTGGGGATCCAAAGAGGGGATAGATCCCAGGTTCTGTGTCTCAACACTGCAGTCCTGAGTGAGTCTCTGTAGCTTCTGTCCACGACCAGCAGGTTGTTCATGTGCTGCCTTGCTTCCTGGGAAGAAGCGAGAAGCCAGGCTGGTGGATAAGGGGTGTGGGGAAAGTGTGTTCTTGTGCTTTTCCATGGTGCTCCGCCCCTCTGTGCTATAAGCTCTTTGAAGACAAGCATATACCATTAAGTTCCAGGTGCTATCAGTGTTCACAATAAAAAGATACAGAAGGGGCCAGAAGGAGGGCTTAGCACAGAAGGTGCTTGCCACCAAGCATGATGACCTGGGTTCAATGCTAAAAGCCATACGGTGGAAGAAATGAACCAACTCCCACAAGTTAACCTCTGACCTCTGTGTACATGCATATGCTCACACACACACACACACACACACACACACACACACACACACACACACACACAAATAGAAAAGTGGATAAATGAGTAAATGGAAAGATGGATGGGTGGAAGGATGGATGGGTGATAGATCTTTCCCACCTCTGTGGAAGCTCAGGTCTCAAACTCCTGTAGTTCTGAAGAGAAAACTCATGGAGTCTTTGCTCACTGCTGGCATCATCGGCAGAGCCTCATGTCATTATTACCAACCCTTAGGTGCCCAGCACCCATTCTCCCTAAATAGAACCCACCAAAAGCCCCAGCCCCTTACTTCTTCCCAAGTCAAATCTTTCCTCAGTGCTTCGTTTTATTTGTGAGTCTGGCAACTTTATGTGGAAGCCTCTGAGACACAGAATTTTCATAATCAAAGTGCATCAAGTCAGGAGGTGAGAGGGCAAAGAGCAATGGAGGCTCACTCCCTCCTACGTGGAGACCAGGGAGTCACTTAGCACAGCTCTCACCTCCCTCTCTGACAGGGACCTCAGCTCCCTCTCATACTTAGGTTTCATTCAGCCTTTTGCTCACATACTTGGGTACTCCACAGAGACAGAAAAATGGCCTTTTACACTGAACAAAAAGATTTCTCCCTGAGGTGACTTCTCAGTCATCAGCCAAGGTTCACCTACCTTTGGCTTCCCAGGTCTCAGGATCATCTAGGCTCCCGACATTTCCTCCTAAATCTTAACATCCCTTCATTCCTGCTCTGGAAGGCAGGGATGTAACATCCCAGTGAGTGGGTTCCCTGCTCAGTGGTCCAGACATCACAGAGATTCACAGACAGGGGGAGCTAACAGCAGTCCTTGCTAGGTGACCAGCCTACAGGTATGTTCTGTCACTCTTCCCATATCACCAGTGCAAATGTTTAGAGAATAAACACAGCGCCCTGTTACAATGAGCACCTCAAAGCTGGGCTCCCAACATCCCTTCCTGCCACCTACTATGGCTGGCGTCTTCATCCAAGACACTGTCCCTTTCTTCCTCCTCTGACCTGTTCCCTTCCACTCTCAAAGCCCCTTCTTATGTTTGTGCACTCTGTGCCACTGTTCCTAGGAATAAGGAAAGCCCGACGATATACTAGCCACGCCCACATAAAATTAAATTCTGTAATATTCTTATCTAATTTTAATCTTCAAACTAAACCTTATTCCCATTTTACAGATGTGGAAACTCGGGTACCCAAAACCTCTGACTTTATGCCCAGTGCTATTTATTCTAGATCCTGTTTATCCTAGAGCCTGAGAACCTCAGTGAAATTTTTCTAAGGTTTAGCTCCAAGTATGGAATAAAGAGTGAACTGTGAAGAGAAGAGCAGGGGTAACAGTCCTCCTGCTATTTCCGACTCTGTTATGAGTTAACTCAGACGATCCTTCCCAGTCCTCAGTTTTCTTGCTCATAAAATCACGAGATTGAATTAGCTAACTCTGCCATCCCACTCAGCTGTCCTTTGTCTCCTGCCCTGTCTCTGCATTGCTGCTAAAATTAGGCAGACAACATAGTTCAAATACCGTTCATTTTTTGGTTCTCGTGGCTTTCAACTCTCTAAGATTAGCTATATATCCAGTGTTTGATTAGCTAAATAATCAGTTAGAGTGTCAAGAAGGAATGAATACACCTGCCATCTCTTTAACAGTCTGTTTTTGGCAGATTCATGAGCATAAGTCTGGGATCACTAGCCACAGGTCAATACCTACTATATTCTTAACCCAAGGAGAACCATCTTTAGGACCATGTGTTCTTACAACAGTGGTCCTCAACCCGGGCATACCTGACTATCCCGGGACATAGTACGGAGAAGGGTACAGGCGTGTAGTAGACAGAGGCCAAAGATACTGCCAAACACACTGTAATGCCTAGGACAGTCCCCTCAACCCAGAGCTCACAGTGTCAACAGTGCCCTGTTGAGAACTCTTGCCTTCAAAAGCCAACTGGAAGGATAGTCCTAAATGCCCTCTAATGCTTTCAGCTGATCTGATCCACACAGGAGGTACACCATCTGGGTGTGCCCAAAAGAACCAAAGATTTGAGCATCTTACCGTGCGAAGAAGGAAGCAGCCACGGAGGTGCCTGTGGAGGTCTCAGTGGCCACACAGGAGCCCTGTGGGGCCGGGACACTGCTGGCTGCAGGCTTGTCAGCATTGTAGCGGTTCAGCGCTGACTCCGTCAGTCCCTCCCGGCCAGTCTCTGTCATCAGCTGGGAGATCTGACAAAGAAAATGACACGGAGCTCATTACCTGTGGCTCACAGAATTTCTGCCCATTGCCAGCAGCTAGCTGTCTGGGGAAAGGGTGGGTTTAATCGCACCCACGCTCAGTTACCTGAGGGTGCACAGGGTCTCTATGACCATTTCCCAGCATGTCAGCTAGGTCACTTCCGGTCCTCATTTAAATAACTCCTGACATTGAAGGTTGCCTTACACCTATATCTTTCTTCCTGGAGAGGGGAAAGTGTCACCTATTTGTCACCTGCTCTTTGTGGCCCAGGATCAGGACCGTGACATGAACGAACGCTGGCTTTGCACCAGGAAAGGCCCCAAGTGCTCACAAAGTGGGGAGGCACAAGCAAGCCTGCTAATGCAAAACACCAGGGATTCAGATAAAGGCCTCTCAGGGGCAGTGGTTGGGGTCGGCTGTGGACAGACAGGTAGGTCACAGATACAGACAAAGATAGTCACAGCTGCCACGAATTACCAGTGGTTTCTCATGGAAGGTTTAGAACATTTTGGACAACATTTTCTTTCTGATCCATTAACAGGGCTACGAATATTTCTGCTTTCTTTGTTTGTTTGTTGAGACGGGGTTTCTTATGGCCTAGGACTAGATATGTAGCTAGGACTAGCCTTGAACTCTTGATCCTCCTGTTTCTACCTCCCAAGTGCTGGGATTGCAGGAATGTGCCAGCACATCTGGCTAACGTATTAGTATGCTGTGATGGTTGGGTTTACCTGTCAACATGATACCACCAGGTTGGCCTATGGGCATCATTTCTCTGTGTGGGTGGGTTCTTTGCTGGGTTAACTGATACAAGGAGACCCACCCTGAGTGTGGGTGACATTTCCTAGACTGGGTCCCAAACTGTATAAAAGCGAAAAACATGAGCTGAGCAAGCAGACACGCATGCTTCCATTACTCTCTGCTCCTGGCTGGGGGTGTGACGTAACTAGCTGTCTCAGGTCCTGGCTACGTTGGCTCCCCTGCTGTGATGTACTATAACCTGCGATTGTGGTAAAATAAACCTTTTCTTAAGTTACTTTTTGTCAGGGCATTTTATCACAGCAACAGAAATCAAACTAGAGCATATGGTGTTTCCATTTCTGTTTGTTTGTTTGTTTGTTTGTTTGTTTGAGAATGGGTCTCTTGCACCAAAGACTGCTCTTGAGCTTACTATGCAGCCAAGACTGTCGCCATTTTATTTCTAGCGATTGCTTTTCTAACAGGAGTCCAGGTAGATAGTCTCTTCTGTTTATCTCCCCATAATCTGCTATAAAGACCCACTCTTCTGGGGAAAATGACCATCTGGTATATTCATCTTACACAATACGGTGTTTATGGAGTAAAGCTCTAAGTGTGTTATGCTGTCACTTTAAAACTATAATCTACTTCCAAAAGGGAAAACATCACCTGAAATAAACAAACAAAAAGAAGGATAGCTTCAGTTAAACCAAAAGGTCTTCGACCTCCTACTCTTAAATGCTAAATGGAGAATATGCCTATCACTTTGAAAACACAGGTGTAATAAAGCCCAGGGCGGGAACCTTTCCCCTTGGTCACTAAGCAGGGTGGCTGGCCATGAGAGGGCCTGTGTTAACACCTGGGAGGTAAAAGCATTCACGCTTCTCAGTATTATCAGGACAGCCATTTGCTCTTCATCTCATTGACTCAAAACTTTGATCTACTCTGAGTTGAGAACTCTGGCATTATTCAGTGGAAATTCTGCCAACCTGAACTTTCTTACTCTCATTCTACACAGGAGAAAGAAACGTGACCCTGTCAGAGTGGCCGGAGAGGCGGCAGCACAGAGGAGGCCTGCAGGATGGTATGCCTATATTCTAAGGTACTAACTATCCATAGGCATAGGTCACCTCTACAGGCTTCCCATGGCACCAACAGCTGCCATCTATCAGAAGGGGCAATGAGGCACAGGATAATGGACCAGAGCTGCTTGTCCACTATAGGCCAAGATCAGCATAGCAACACACAGAGACAGCAAAAGCACATTTGTGGCCTGTTTCTGGACTATTGTACTTTCTACTGCGTACATCTATCTGATTAAACTTCTTTTCTACAGTCCTTTAAATAATAAAATCTAGTTCTTCTCCAGACTTCCTTATTTTGCTGGGCACATCCTCATTCACACCGGGCAAGCATTCTACCACCGAGTACTCTCCCTTTCAGTTCATTCTTCTTGGTGCTCGGCTATGCCAGGCACTCCAGGAGAGACACATGCAAACACATCTTCATGTCTCAGGTGTCTTCAATATTTACTCCCTTTGCAATTTGTACAGGAGTCCCTGGCTGACAGTTATACAAAGACAGTACACAGGAACACTGGCTGCATTCATCTTCTGGGCTCTGTCCAGCTGCATCTTCATCACTCTGAAAGTCAGAGGAGCCAGGCAACCCTCTCGGAAGCTGTAGCTGCTTTACCTCAACGAGCAGACTCATATTGTTTCCAGATGATTCTGAGAAGGGAGCCTGCTTATCAGATGAGCCACCATTCATCCACCCTGTACCAGAATGCGGGCTTCCGAGTGCTGAGCTTCTCCCCAAGGGGCTATCCATCATGTGTGTTGCCATGTCACTATCAAGAACTTATTCTCTTCAGCCCTGACAATTATCACTAAGACAATACCACCAGTCATGAATGAATTACCTCAGGAGTCAAAGGGACAAATACTTGTCCACTGGATAAGATCGAGTTAGGAAAATAACAGTCCAACACAAATTCCTTCTTTGGCTTCCAATGGGAGATAGACCATCCCAAAGCTGTACACATGCTCAGCAGAAAGGCTGAAGATACCAAAGGCCTTAGCATCATCTGCTAGCCCTCTGAGCAGGACAAGCCCTTCCCCAAGACCCACGCGAGACAGGCAGATTCACACACGGGAAAAGAGCTGTTTCGAAGGAGATCCATGATTTAACCAAGGTCGCACAGCACGATGGGAATGCAGGCCCTGAGGCCACTGTGTTCTCCTTCCTCAGATCGTCTGGCTTCTGTTACCAAAGTGCACTGAACAAGCCAAGGACCGGAGTAGATTTGGGGGATTATAGAGAGTAAACCGCGCTAAGCGTCTCACTTCATGAGATTTGGGGAGCAAGAACCGAACCAGAAAACTAGACATGGGCTAGAAACGTGTAGCGAGCCTCGAACAGACCCTGTCTCAGAAAAAAAAAGCCACCCACATATGTGATGCTTATGTGCATGTGTGTCCCTGAGTGTGTGAGTGCATGTGTGTATGTAGATGTGAGAGTGTGTGAGTATGTGTGTGTGTGTGCATGAGTGTGCGTGTGTGAGAGAGTGCATGTGTGTGTTGTGAGAGTGCGTGCACGTGTGTATGTGTGTTTGTCCATAATGTGCTAATGGAGAGGCTTTTGGACAAACTTCCAGGTGAAGGTAAGGGCGGTGGGGTGGGGGTGTCACTGTCCCTTGCTGTCCAGTGAGCGGTGCAGTACGAGGCTGGGCTGTGAAGGCCCCAAGAGGAGGTCAGGCCATTTCCAACACGCTTCTGTAGGAAGGAGCCTGGGACTACTGGCTTCTGTCCTCTTACCCACCAGCCATCAGTAGGGACCCCTGATCCTTCTGTCTCTCCACAGAGGCACCCCATGGTCTTCCTGAGGAATCAAAGTCGCCTGTGTTTTGTAAGCAGTCATCCTGTTGCTGGCTTCTGAGTTTGTGTCAAGGCAGTGGCTGGCTGTTCCTTCTAGCTGGTAGGGCCTGCCACCTGTAGGAAGGGCCCCTTTTCCAGCGAGCTATATTCAAGGCTCTGTTTTTGTGTGGCAGTCCTCAATACAGCCTTAGCCACTGTGGCCCTGAGGCCTGGAGACCTATTCCCCACCCCCAGCTCTGTCCAGAACCCATGCTTCTGACTTCCAGGTCACGTAGGAGGCACAGGAATGGGAAGAGGTGGTTGCCTACAAGCTCTCAGTACAGTACCGAGGGTGGTCCAGAAGCTGAATCCTGAGAGAGTGTACCCACGGCACCAAGAAGATGAGCACTGCTCAGGGAATGCAGGTAGGAATTGAAGAGACCCAGGCTGGGTGCACACTGTTGGGAGTCCACAGTGGTTTCTTACCACCATCCACCCTTGGCCTGACTTACCTCACCCACATATGGCTCTGCCTGCTCAGCTCTGCCCTCCAGCTCTGGCCCCCAGCTCTGTACCCCAGCTCTGCCCCCCCCGCTCTGGCCCCCCAGCTCTGCCCCCCAGCTCTGCTCCCTCCAACTCTGCCCCCCCAGCTCTGCACCCCAGCTCTGCCCTCTCAGTACTGCCTCATCCACAAAGGACCTCCTGCTGCTTCAGCACCATCATCCAGGTCTGAAGCAGAAGCTTGATTTTTAAAGGACTCCGTCTACCTTGTTTTTGAGGACTGTTTCACATTGGTTTCTTTCTTCACCATGCTGTGGAAAATACACGATTGTTCCTGAGAAGACTCAGATCCAAAGCCACAAAATGGCTGCTTGACACTGAAACCTACAATCTGGTAGAAGGCCCTCAGCATGCATCACTGTTGTAAACTGAAAGCTCCAGGCCGCTTCGAACCGCAAACTCAGGAGGACTAGTTTGTCACCACAGGGCCATGTTAGGGATGGTTCTGATTAAAGCCGACATTTAGCTCTCCAGCTCAGTAACAGGGGACCACGCCAGGGCCTAACAGCGTTTGTCCACTTTTCAAACGCCACCATTTTCCATGGGGAGAAAGAAAAGATGGCAGAAGGGAGACACAGGGAGATGGTGAAAGGAACAAGACTTGGAGCAGTGTGTGTGGGGGTGCATTTGGGGGGTCCTCCTTGAAGGTAAGAATCCATGTGCCTTGACTGTGCTGTGGGGTGGCTTTGCACAAGCTACACACTGCACGTGAACATCACTCTGTTAGTCGGAGGGTAGGCACATGTCTTTCAATCACACTGAGATTTGGACATTGACATCTCAGCAGAAGGTGAGCCCCCGGGACGTGTCCCCCAAAGACGCCGAGGCGCTTACAT